CCCCAAAACCCCAAAACCCCAAAACCCCAGACTTCAAATGACATACAAATATATCTAGTTTGATTGAGTATTACTATTAAATAAAAATTATGGTTAATTCAGAATACTTAGATATTTGGATAATTATAAGGTTAGTTTCATCTCCTCGATGACTATTTACTTCTAAATATGCTGTCTTTTTAGCTATCATTTAAGTCTTCTTCGAGATCCATATTTGATTCTAACTCTGAAAGTAATTTTTACTTTTCTTCATTTTCCGAATCATTAAGAAGCACATTATTGTTTTTCTAGCTTTTACTCTTATTTTCTAGCTTCTTTTTTTTCAAGCCCTTAATGACATTTTCACCAACAAGCACCATAGATTCTCTGTCTTATACAATTTATGTCTATGCTTTCATTGACTCATCATCCTCATCCTCACTGGAATCATCATCGTCTTCATCATCCTCACCACTATTTCTCGACTGTTTCATTAAATGCTACTGCATTAGCTCGTCTATTTAATCAATAGATTCTGTCGCACCGTTTCCTAATATTCGGTTTTTACCTCCTACTTTTGATTAATAGTTATAAGACTTTGAATGATCAATGGTCATATCTTCAAATTTAGAGTCATCAAATAGCGAGATCTTATGTTTATCACTAAGCTGGTCATCTTCTTCATTATCTACAAGATAAACTGCTGCATTTTACAGTATTCTTTCTCCAATTCCTCTTTAATTAGTGTGCTTTTTATCATTTAGATTTACACTGTGATTCTCTATTGATTATGTGTAAGGTGATTCATCCTTCATATTTTTTGTAGCTTTTTTCTAATGATTAGATTTTAATGGAGCTTTTTAATTCATATCCTAAGATTAATCTATAATTTACTTCTTTTTCTTGTCAAAAAGATCTTTTTGCATTGAAATCTCTATGTCAGTTAGATTATCATTCTATTACTTTTAATCAATCTCGCTCTTCATCTAATTATCTTCTATCTCAAAATCATCATCTTAGAGAATATCATCTGTGAATTTTATGCCATACTCGCATCTTCTTATCCAAGGTGCTTCTGGCATTGGAGCATCTATTTGTTTGAGTGTAAACTCATTTTAAATAACCTCTTCATCTATATTAGGTATCATATTAGGGGGCTTTATGAAAGGCATAGAAAAGGATGGCTTGGTTGAGATCGATGGTCGTTTAGGATTAATAATCAATTTTACACTTTCAAATTTAGAGCACAGTCTGCTTTTTATAGGAAATGGTTCAAAAAATATCTCCTTATTTTCTTTGAAGTATTGCTGATGTAGTTTAGGTTCTTATTTTTCTAATTTTGCAATGTCTTTCGCAGATTTATCATTTTGGCCTAATTTTTCATAAACTAAAGCTCTTAATAAAAAGAAGTATCGCTAATACTTCTTTGGTGATTAGCCGATCAGTTCATTTAGCTTTTATAAGGAGCTTTAAAAATCTCCCATCATTAAATAGCAAAGTAAAATATTGAAATTGGTCTCATGGGTATTCAAAGAGCATAATCCAACATCAGATAGATCAGTCTTACTACTATTCATACTAATTGGTGTTGAGCTTTAAGAATGTCTACTATAAACCATCATGGCCTCCTAGTGATCATTATTATTGATTGGGCTTGAGTCATTCATATATTTCTTATTATTATTACTTGAGGTTTGATTTCCATCTGTCTCATTCATCCTTTGGTCTCTACAATAGTCATAATCACTAATGGCTAATGAGTAATTCTTATTGTAAAAATTAAAAACTGCTCTGAACAGATAAAAATCTTCCAGTTAGAACACATTTTCAAAGTAATAGCTATAGAGAGATATATTCTGCAGTTAATCTAAATCTATTGTTTGATTCATATCAATTGAGATTGTTAGATCTTTTTGATCAGATTGAGAGGCAATAAGTTCCTTAGCTACTGCAATTTTCTCGATTTTTATTCTTTTAACATTTGGAATCACTTGAATGTTAAGTTTTGCATCCTTTTTCTTGAGCTCTTTTAGTTTTGGAGATTTGAATGTTTCCATTAAGCTATTCATTATGTCAATCGCCTCATTTATGATTTTTTCTTTGTTGACTTGATTTTAGCTTGAACTTGCAATCACTTTCATAAGAGCACTTAGACATTAGCTATCTATTTTGACAAAGTATTCATTTTTACATAAATCTTGAGCACTCTTGAATTGTATTTTTGCATTTTCTAAATCTGTTAATGCGCAATAGCACCTAGCTCTTTAAAAAGCTGCTACAGCAGTCTTTTATACAGTGTCAGCATTCATAAAGGCTTTTATTGCATCTTAATAAGCCCCAGTAGTCATTAAAAGGTTTCCAGCATAGACATGGACCATTGGATTTTTAGGATCAGTCAAAATTAGTCTTTAAAAGTCTAAGAAAGCTAAGTTATTATCACCTAGGAGGTAAGCACATTTTCCTCTATAGATGTAAGCTTCTTGCAAAGAATCATCGATGTTCAAAGAGATGCTTAAATCTTTCATAGCTTCAGTTAAAATGCTTAAGCATGCATAGCATCTCCCTCTGGCTAAATAGTAACTTGCAGTTGGCTCTTCTTCCTCCTCAATAGCGACATTGAAATCTTTTAATGCTTCATAAAACATATGAAGTTAGAAATAGAGCAGCCCTCTGAAGAAAAATAAGGAGGGGATTCTAACCTTGTAGCAATTCTTTATAGCTGAGTCCATAAATATTTTAGCATTCATCACATTTTCCTTTTTTACCTCACTATCAACAGTTAAATCAGCAAGAGAGTAAGTGTAAGATCTAACGATTGAAATTATGTATAGGCAATAAGGATCCTTATTAAGTGGAAATCTTAAAGATGCTTTGTTGAAATATTTTGTAGCCATTAAATAATCTTCATGATCCATTCTTAAAATTCCTTTTCCAAGAAGTTTATTGTATATAGAAGCAGCATCTAACCTAGAAATCTTTTTTGCTTTCTTTATATCGTTCAATGCTACCTCATATTTTTCAATTGCAACGTATCCATAAGCCCTATAGATGTATGCTTGATGCTTTAAATGCTCCAACTGCTTTTTGTCTTTTTTCTCTTTATTGTTTACTAGTATCTCTAACAGATCACTTAAGATCTGCACTCCTTTCTTAATCTTTCTCTTAATCAAGTATAAAACTCCCTCAGTAAAATCTTTATATAGTTATAGTCTCTTTGATGTGAAATTAGAGTCAACTGCTCTTTTAAGATTGAAATAAGCCTCATAAAAGTCCTTATCTTTAAGTCTGAGTTTTGCGATCTCAAATAGTGCGTTTCCAGCGTATATTTCATTCAACTAATGCTTAACAACTTATTCAAAATGTAAAATTGCATCATTCTATATCTTTTATGCCTCTTCTACTTTGCCGTCAATTCTTGGAGTTACAGCGTATTGTCTGGAAAGGATTTTACCTATGTAGAAATGAGCCTTGTATTAGGTAGGGTCTGTTGATATAACCTTTTGTAGATCAGCTAGAGCGTTTTAATGCTTTTTTACGTAATAATATGATAGTCCTCTCTTTAGATAGGTTGAGATTAGGTGTTGATTCCTCTGCTCATCAGTTGGCTTAGCTTTGTTAAATATATTTATCGCTTTCGAGTAGGACTATATTGATTCCCACCACTATTTCAATTATTTTTAGGAATCTCCAGCTCCAATGTATCCTATGCCTTGATTTGGTACTAAGATAGTGTATTGTAAGAAATCTTGAAGAGCAAGATCGTATTATTCCTATAAAAGTAATGCTTGTCCTCGTGCTAGATATGCATCTGGGTATTGTGAGTGCTTGAGTATGCAGTTATTCAACTAAAAATTGTTAAGCCAATAGAATTACTATGTTAATTGTTTCATTAATCTCGTTTTGTCTTTTGTAAGCTATAGATAATAGAATATGAGTAATTTATGAATGGTCAGGACTATTTTTCAGCACATCTTTCAATTCACTGATAGCTTCTTGCGTCTATCCAAAATCTAAATTGCTTACGGCTCTGTAAAATCTTGCATCGTATAAATAATTGTCTATAGTAATTGCTTGTGAGAATAATTCGTTCGCGCTAGCATAATCCTTTTCTAGAAGTTTAGCTTTACCCTATAGTAATAGGCCTTGACTAATTTTGGCTTTTTTATTATTGTCTGCTGCATTAATGCTGGGAGAGTAGTTTGGATCCTCAACCATAGGATATGAGGGTTATCTTTCAACCTATCTTATTGAGTTTTATCTTTTAGAAACATTATAGCTATTGTTAACTTTAAATTTATTCCTAATATGAAAACTTTGGGTCGAAGATGAATGTAATTCTTAATCAGTGCTTGAATTAAAAGGCTGAAGGTCAAATGACTAGGTATGATTAGGCTAAGACTTTTTCAAAGATTTTGAAGACTGCACTTTATTGTTATTTAATACTTACAATCTAGGGTTAGATCCTTGAATCATTCCCAAGGAAGGATTATTAAGGTTATGATTCTGAGATAGATTGTGATGGCTTTGAACATTATTGATAAAGAAATTTTAAGCAGTGTATGCTTCAGCTATTTAAGTGTATTTTCTTTGTTAGGATGATTATTATTATTGTCGATTTGGTTGAGGGTTGATTCTGCCTGAAGAGCTCTATGGCTTATTCTGATACTTTACAAGGTAATCATTTTAATGTTGTTACAAAATGTTTCCTAAATTGACATTATTTTGGTTTGTCTAATTCTGGTTTAAGATGCGCTACATATGCTGCTACTACTTTATGACTCTTTAATTATGAATGTTAATGTTACTAGGGGCATTTGCTGGTTGTTGATTCCTTTTCAATGAATTAGACCTACTTTAGTTCTAGGATTGACTTTATTTTTTAGATGTTGTATTAACAATGAAACTGTTATTATAAATATTGATATCAGAAGCTGTGTTGATATTTAAGATTGCTTGAGAATTGCTCCCGCTGTTTATTAAGTTTTAAAGTCCATTATTTGGATGAATCTACTAATTATCACTAATTAAGTATCTGCGCATCATCTTATCATTCACTCTCATAAACTGTTTCTGGTCACTAATAACTAAAGGTTGAGTGTTATTTGGCATGTTCTGGTAAATCATCATTGATGGATTCCTCGATTAAGAGTAACTAATATTGCTTTTCTGTGGTGTTTGAGTGTTTTCTTTAATAGATATGTGGCTATATAGAGACATATTATTCTGAGTACTGTTGTTTGAATGATGTGAGGGAACTCTCTATGATTAAGCTTAGTTCATTTGCTGATTTACTAATATATCATAAGCACTTGATTTTCGATCTTTGAATGGCTACTGTATGTTAGCTCCATACTAGTAGATTTATGCAATTGAATCTGACTATTTATATTTATTACTGACGACCTGTGGAGAACTTTGATCTCCAATATAGTTTTATGAATATATCTATGGTGCTAGTTGACTTGTATTATTGTAGGCTCTGCTGTCAGTTGAAAAGTTAATTTTTTTATCTTTTTTAGCTGTATTTGAATTTTTTATTGCTTGAGTCAAAAGATCAAAATTTTTTCGAAGTCTTCTGGGCCTTTTTTAAGATTGACCATCATTCAACTAATTTTGTATTTTTTACATTTCACCTATACCTTATGCTCCAATCATATTCTAAATTGGGCCTTTAACTGTACGATTAGAAAAGGTCTTGTTTACTAAACCACTTCCTTAAGTTCCATCAATATTTTAGCTATAAGAATTTTATTGTCCGACTGATATAACTGCTTAAGAATTTTCATTTCGACTTTGATTGCTGTTACTGTTATTATTGTTTAGTTTTTTCCTTCCAATCTAGAGTTTTATTTTCCCATTAGAAACTAATTCACCTTAGAACTGCCGCTAGATGTTCGATTTATTTGCTAACAGGTTTGATCCTCGAGTAAGTGAGCTGTTTTTCTGGGCAATTTGCTCTTTATAATTTTGATTGTCACCCACGAATTTGTTATCGTAAATTCTTTCAGTCATTAAATTGATATAAATCTAATTCAAAATTATTAAATTATCATATTCTAAAATCCTTTGAATTACAGTTATGATGGGGTTTTGGGGTTTTGGGGTTTTGGGG